GCTCAAAGTTTTCCATGTATTTTAGATGGAGAAAAAACCATTTTTCGTAGAAATGGTATACAACTCTAACATATCAATATTTTTCAATCGGAAAACTGTGGTTCTCTTCAGGAGACTTCCAGTATTAATATCTATTGGTTATTTAACCATTTTTTATGATTAAAGATTTTTCCATTGCATTTTCTATGGGTTTTGGAGGACCTATTAAATATAGTTACTATGAAAAAATGGTAAAGAGACAATTGCGTATTATTACTGGGAATCTCCTGAAGATAAGAAAAGTTTTCCGATCGAAAACTGTTGATTTTCAAAGAATTCTACACTATTTCTACGAAAAGTTGTTTTTCCCCATATAAAATACATGGAAAACTTTGAGCGCTTTGAGCACTCCCTATTTTTATTTTTTTTTTTCAAAATAAAAAATAGGGGTATATATTTTCGATATAGAACAATCCTAGGGGGTGCCGGCATTAAAAATCCGATCTTAATTTTTTACATACATTTTTGGACCACTTTAATGGCCATCCTAACAAAAAATATTTTCAAATTAAAGTTTTATTAAACTCTTTGTTGCAAAAATTTCCTCCGGCTTTTGCTGAAAGGTAAATAAAAGCTCTGTGTACATTTTTAGCGCATAATTTCAAAAATGCCAAAGTTTGAGTTGTGACTCTCTTAGAGACGGTGTGCGACATGTGTCGCTACTCGCTTGAGCGCTGACCCCCCATGCGACCGCTAACGTAACATTTTTTGGCGGAGGTAAGTTTTTTTTGTTTTTTTTGTAAGTGAAGTCGAATTTATATTTTTGTTTTAAGTTAACGATAATAGCATACTTTAATATTTTTGATAACACACACTTTTTTTTTTTATTTTCCAAACTCTTTTTTCGACATTTCACTGGGGACCCCATGCGACTAACTGTGTGATTTTCTTTATGCGTCTAATTAAGGGTTAGTCNTTTTTTGGCGGAGGTAAGTTTTTTTTGTTTTTTTTGTAAGTGAAGTCGAAATTATATTTTTGTTTTAAGTTAACGATAATAGCATACTTTAATATTTTTGATAACACACACTTCGTTTTTTTATTTTCCAAACTCTTTTTTCGACATTTCACTGGGGACCCCATGCGACTAATTGTGTGATTTTCTTTATGCGTCTAATTAAGGGTTAGTGAATTTCATATTGGTGTCTCGTTTACTTACCAGTACAGAAAGCATACTCTCGAAATCGCCTGTCGCCGGAGAGGCATCCAAATACTTCTCTTTGATGAAGTAGCGCGTGTCGTTCTTATCAATGGGCTCCGTGCCCTTTAACCAGGTAATTTCACAGCGCGGCACACACTCGATGCGGCATGTAAGATTAGCTGTGCGCGATGTATGCAACATGCCCGTATATGGCACCAAATTCTTGATGAAGAATGGAGGTGCATGCACCTCCAGATTGATAGTTGCCATTACACCTTTACCACCTTCATTGAATGCATAGCATGAGTAATTTGTGCGGCTATCCAAACCCACCGGCTCAACAGTCCAGTCCTTGGTGACAATGTCCTGTAGCGGACCACGTCCACCGCGCAACCAACGGAATCTATGTGGATGCATTAACATTTGGGCACCATGAGTAAATGCGCCCATTTTTCGGTATAATGAGAGTTGGTGGTGTTGTTGTAATGATGGATTGAAGTCAAGTGATGTTGATGATGAATCGAATGATGATTGTGATGAGGTGTCAGCCATGTTGGTTTTCGCCACATTGTACAGTGTTAGAATTTGTGATTTTGGTGAGAATGTGGTGAGTGTAAGCAATGTACATAGAGGAGTATGATTGTTCAGGCCAATTAGTGCATGGGTTTCTTTTTGTATCGTTTGGTTGCTATGTTGTTGTTGGTGTTGTTCAAGCAATGGTGAATTTTGTCGTATCAACGCCTCATAAGCTGCCTCAGCCTCAGAGGGTTGCAACGCTTGTACGGTATGGAAATTAATAAGGAAATTATCACCCGTTTGGGGTGCGGATGCAGCGGTTGTGGTGGGATGTGATGTATATGATTTGGTTGAGTTCTCAGATAAATTGGTTTTAGGAGCAATGGAATTATATGATGATGTATATGCGGTATTTTTGTACGACTTTACAGACCTATTAGATTCAGGATATCCAGGGTCGTCCACGGAGCATGAAAATGTTACACTCTTCTTCTTCACCGCAATTAAGGGGAAGTGAGTGAGCGTGGCGGGACCGGGTTCGTAATGCACCTGCGTGTTAAAAGTAATGATAATTTGTAGAAAAATATTGATTGGTATTGCATTTTTATAATAGTACATCAATGTCTTCAGAAATTATAAAATATGCACTAATAAGAGTCGTGTTTATCTAAATCTAATGTGACCAATTATTTCATAGCTCAAAGAAATACAGGAGCTGAGAAGCAAAAATAGTATGAAATAGTAATGAGAAAATGGTAAATGTAGAACATACAAAAACGGTGACATTGTGCCAATTCAACAAATTAAATTAAAAATTAAACTTTATTCAATAACAACACAAAATTAGTGTCCAAAAACGGAACAACATTAAAATGAACTTTTACTTCCATGAAGTGCATATGGCTGAGACAATTTTTTCTTAGAAATAATTGTAGAGATATTATAAATACGAATATTTAATTTATAATCAACGATGCTTTCTTCGTTACTATTGGGGCGTTCAGTTTTATTTCTCTACACGAACTTTAGCAGTTGTTTCAGAGAACATAAAGTGTGTAAAAACATTAAGGGTTAATATAATCTATTCTATATTTAGCATCATATAATTTATAAGATGTACCTTAACAAACTTAAAGTCAACTTTCAAAAATCCAAAATAGCGTATCCAATATGGCGTCCAATAATTTAAGGAACTACTGAATTTTCACGAAATTTCGAAAATTCAAAATGCAAAATCCAATATGCCCTCCGATATTTCCAAAAATTCAAACCCGAATAAATTTATTTAAAAAGAAGAAAACTGAAGTTTTGGAAATCACGAATTTCATATAAATACAAAATCTTAAAAAAATACTATAGAGGCCTAGGTCAAATGGTTTGGGCTGAACATATAGCAGACGGTCCCAACTATGCTCCATTTACAAATCTATTCGAATGGAAATATAATGCAATCACTCTCTCTCATTAAAATTTCAATTCGATAATGGGCTAGATTTCGAATTCATAACGAAGGAAAAATTCATTGGATAACGAAGGTTCCGTTTTGCTGGAGAATGGCCTAGTTCTCGAATCGAATACTAACCTTTTCCACATTCTTATCAAAGGTGAGACTTGAAACAAATTTAAGTTTTCCAATAATTTTCGAATTTTTAACCAAGCCCAATGTTTATTGGGAATGTTCGAAGGGTCCAATTTCACAAAATCCACTTTCACTAATTCCGGTAAGTAACATAAAATAATGTCAGGAGCAGGTAATAATGTACCTTTGTACTATTTAGCAGCTTACATTTAAATCTATTAAATACATTCTAGCGTGTTTCAGTCCTTTGCCCACAAAAGCGGCTATAACTTTATTGTTTCTATCAGGGTACGAAAATAAACTGTACAAAACAATTACCATTTGCTCATCGATCATCATATCATTTGTGTTTTTGTATAGTTTTGTACGTAGTCAGAAACAAATTGTAAGATTCACTGTCATTTTCCCCAACGAGAAACGTTTGCTTTTCGTTTGTGACAATTGTACCATAGGGTACGTTTTATATGTAT